AAACCTACTGTCAGACACTTTTTTCAAGCAGTGGTACAGGAAGAAGTCTTCATCTTTCAAGAGGACCATGATTTTATGCAGGACAATGCTCCATCGCATGCATTGGAGTACTCCACTGCTTGGCTAGGCAGGAAAGACCTTAAAGATGAAAAAATAATGCCATGGCCCCCTTCCTCTCCTGACCCAAATCTTACTGAGAAATTCTGGGTCCTTCTTAAACAAGAGATTTATAGTGAAGGAAAACAGTCCACCTCTCTGAACAGTATCTGGGAGGCTGTGGTTGTTGCTGCACAAAAAGTTTATTGTTACCAAATCAAGAAACCGACCGACTCCATGAATGGAAGACATATGACCGTTATTGAGGAGAAGAAGACTGGCAATATTGGTCACTTTTTTTGTTTTTTTTAAATGTCAAATTTTGAGTTGTTTACTGTTCTGACGGATGAAAAGAAACAAGTGAGAATGGAAACTGTACATTTTTAATTTAGCTGCGTAATTCTATACATTAATAATTGCCCAAAAATTGTGCACACATAGAGTTTCTCCTAAGAAAGCTAAAACTTCACTTTTACTTCTTAAAATATTCAGATTTGAGGTTTATTAACATTTTGGATCGACCAAGAGCACTGTAGTTGTTCAATTATAAAACTAATCCACATTAATACAACTTGCCTAATACACACAGTGTATTATAATAATAATAATAATAATAATGATAATAAAGTTTTGTATTTAATCACCTGAAATGCTATATTCTGTAACTCTTTTACTTTTCAGTTAATTGAGTATACAAGGTATTGGTACATGAAAGATTTTTTAATTTCACACTCCATTATGTTAAAATTATTGCTCCCACTCATTCACACTGTTTGATGGTTCACAGGATCAATTCTGGCATGAACTTTGTGTAAGTGTTGTGTGGTGAGATTACTGTAGTCATGCCTCTTGGCTAAAGTCAGTTAATGAAACAGAAGGGGCTTGTGTTTACAGTTGGTCACATGTTTGACAAAGACTGATCGAAGATGCAGTGAGAGGAGGGCTCACTCTGTGGCCCAGACTACAAAATACCAGACTCTGCTTGAACCAACATTACAGTGATTTGTTTGTTTTCATCCATAGCTCAACACATTCCAATGGCAAGTTATCCAGTGGAGCCCATGTACGATGCCTACGGAAAGCCCCTGGGACCAGCAGACTATCCCCATGCAGGCTACCCCATGGCCCCTCAGTATCCGGGCATGCCTGTACACTATCCCATGATGCATCCTGGTCCATACCCACCGCCCCCACTAGATCCTGCCTATGGCCAGCGTAATGACAAAAAATATATTTAGGAAGGTAAAGGTATTTATGAACATGACATGACTTCAATATTTTCTTCTTTTGCTTTTCAGCTCCCCCGCCTTACTCTCCCCCTCAGTATCCTGGCCACTGATGAGTTCAACAGCCACAACACAGTGGACACACAGCAGCGGACAAGAGAATGGACCATTTGAAAAGGGGAAGGCAGTACTACACATTGACATCAGCACACCAACAAACCCAAAATATATAAAAGTGAAAGGTTTCAATAAGAATATAACTGCACTTTAGGCATTTGGAAAACTTCTCCACTTGCCATAAGATTGAATACAATTTTCAGGACTTATTATTATTATGTTTGCACCTTTTACCCACTTTTGTTTATTTTACGAGTTTAATTAATTTACATGAGGCTAAACAAAATATTGTGGATTTTAAAAAAGTACCCAGTTAACAATATTTAAATACATTTACTAAAATGTGGAGTGGGTGAATCTGATTGGATAGAATTTTCAACTTTCAAACAATCTAATGTTCTGTTGTCAGGTTTAGTTGTTTTTTTTTGTTTGTTTTTTTCCTTTTTTCTTCTTTTTCAAATTCCAAATCAAAATTTTGATCTACATATTTTTTTGTAGTGATTCAGAGAGAAATTGGAAACAGGGTTTAGGCATTTGACTTGAAGTTTTTGGTAGGTGCACACACACCGTATGGATCTCATCTCATTCTATGTCACAATTTTGTCAGTCCTCCTTTCTCATATATCCTGCTAGGTAGAGTATGCTGTCTAATGTTAGCGACTACAACAGCATGCTACCCTGATAATTCTGTCCTTTTCTCCTTAAAGCTTTTGAATAGCTTGTCATTTAGCTGTTGTTGGATGCCGTTTAATATGTGTGTTGCAGTTATTTATTATTTGTAACATATCAGTTCAGGGGAGCGGCAGGTCGAGCTGTGTAGTGAAAGTCCCGCCTTATTACAATTAAGGTAATGACTACTTATTGAATTATTTTGTAAATCTCTGCTGGATATTTTATTTTAATTACATTTTTAAATGGCATTGTGCAGAATTTTTAACATTTTGTCTTCTCCATTTGGAAATTAAAGATCATCTATTGTTCTTTCAGGAACTATAAATTTGGATTGACTACTGAATAAAGGCCCTGACAACACGTACACATTTTTGACAACAGATATTTTAACAGTCTGAAAAGGGAGCAGGATTGTTTATGCTTTTTCCTAACATAATTTCATCTTTTTATCATTATTATTATCATTAAGATAATTTAACATTTTGATAGACTGTAAAGAACCCATGGCAGGTTTTGGAGAGCACCTAATTATTAAAACATACATTTCACAATGTGGTATTAACTGTTAAATATCCGATTGTTGCCACTTGCTTATAAATAATGTATTTTGGGTCTTTATAAACTAAACACATTAGATTGCTTGTAGAAAAGTATAATAGGTGGTCTTTAGTTTCTTTGATATTAAGCTAAAGAGCCAAAAAATCATGAAGTCACTATCCACTTTATTTATGTATGAAGCTCTGAGTATAAGCCTCAATCTGAAAATGTTGGCTTTATTTGATATTTCAAATTTAAACTGAATGGTAAATGTTTCCAAGGGCAACACATGTTGTATATTGCTTGAATTTTGAAAAGGGATTTATGTTCAGATTCAGATGGCTGCTAATTGACATGTTTTCTCTGAATTTGAGTTTTACAGAGCTTTTTATAAAGCACATAATTGAAAAGTGGATTTTTTTTTTTTGTTTTTTTTTTTTTGTGGGGTGCTCTTTATGTAGTTCCTTTTGCTCAATGCTGTTAATATTTATTTGTGCTCCATGAGTGTGTTTAAGAAGAGTTGATGTATGGACATGGTGTGGTGTCAGATGACAGTGAGACATTGTAATATAGTGGGATTTAATTTCTATTAACATAAAATCTAACTTTGGAAAAAAAATGTTTGTCTTTTATTTTTTGTGCATACTAAAACAGCTTCTGGAGCTGTATTGAAAAACAGTTTAACTCAATTAAACTGCCACTAGAGTTGATATTTTTATACTGTCAACTATATCAATTATAAATATAAAAGGTTAATGTAACAAGAATCTTACTGCATAGCAATTTGATAGTATACTGCAACATTTATTTACTGAAAATGACTTAGTATTTTATAGTAGATTAACTTGTTTTATAGTGTAAAGAGGTTGGATTATATAGATCAAAACATACAAATAAAATGTCAAGCTTGACAAAACACACAGAATGACCCCCTATTTGATAACAATATAAGAAAAAAATTATAAAAATGTAATAAAATACCAGGTTATGAACATTTTAGGAATTGGAAAAATCACAACAAATGAGATTGCTGGGTAAAAGTTGAACTTGTAATCAGACAGATGTTTGGATATAAATATAAATTGTGCAATAGGAAGTCTGCATAGCTTGTGCTTTGGAGTCAGTGTAAACTTCCAGCCCTTCCCATTGCCATTAAAGGAGTGTGGACCCTGCACTAAATATGGACATGCACTTTCACAGGATTTTGAAGAATGCCTCTGCTCGTCGGTGCACTCTGATGATGCGAGCTTCATGTAGTTCGTCACTGCGCCCTTTAATGCAAGACAGCCTCCCCAGTTCACCGTGCTTGGACAAGATCTGCTCTATTAGATTGCATTAGGACAGTTTCCTTTGGCCTATGTTATTGTTTTACACTATATTAACCCATTATTTTTGAGAGGACACTAAAGATACTGACAAGTTACCAGAAAGTTCCAGATATCAACCAGTCATGTCCAGAAGAAAGGTGAAGGGACTGACTCGAACCGGGCGCCAGGTGAGCGAGGACCCGGATTTGGACAACCTGTTGTCCACACTGTCTCCAGAGGAAATGGAGGAGCTGCAGATAGACCTAAGCAAAGTGCCGGACATCAACCCAGAAGATGGTGCAGTTCTTGTGCAGGGAGACAGCCAGAGCCGGGACCCTAAAAGGGGCAGCCGAAAGGAGAGTGACCCAAAGGGGAGGCTTAGTCAAAGGGAGAAGTCACTGGAGGTAAGTGTGTGTCTAACGTTTTGGAACACAAGACATGTGCAGTATCTATTCTCTGATATAGATATTTGATATTTGCCATCACAAACCAGTGAAACTTCCCATGAACTAACAAAACAGGTTCAAGTGAATAATCCTTTTTTTCTTTTTTTTTTATGTGTTCCAAGTGCCGTCGACATTTGTTAATTTAGTGGATGCCATGTTGTATAAAAGTTTATAAGTCTATGAAAAATTGTGTGTCAGTCCTTTTCTTGACATATCAGAATACAAAACAAAAACTTTCTTAAACTCTGGTTTAATTGAATAGCATAACTGAAATTAGAATTTTCATTCATTATGTGTCTATTGTCCACATATCGATGTTTTGTCTTTGGCTGATGAATTCCACTGTTACATAACAAACCACAGTTCCTTCTAATGATAGCCTTCATATGCCATTTTTCATTTAGCCTGAAGCCAACAGCTACCTCAACCTTTTGCACTCTGTCCATCAGTGTTGGTCCCTCATGCTAGTTTCCATGCCAGGAAAAATATTCTTTAAACGAGCTTGTTGTAAACTTTTCAAATTCTTAGTTGTCTATTTTAGTGCCACAAACCAAAGAACCTACAGATTTTCTTTCATGGCAGATATGAGGCTATGTAAGCAGTATGTGGTTCTGTGTAGCGTCCTAATCCCGGTTTGAAGGAATTCCTTGGTTGATTGCTCCAATGCTCACTGCCTTTTAAGGATACATCTGCCTGGGCCATGGCCGTACACAGCAAACAGAGGGAGACTCACAAATCAAACACTTACAGAGCTATTCACAGCAAATGTATCTCAGTGCTGTAAAAAGGTTCCTGGTGCTTTGGGGACTGTAAACATAGGGGCCATACTGTGCCATGGAGAAGGCCTGTGTTTACAAGTGAGCCCGTGGACATGGAGATGTTTGACTGTAAAACAATACTGAGGTTTGAGCTGAGACACTTGGCCTATATATTTGATTACAAATCATATACAACACTACAACATATAATAGACCATGTGTAGTATGGGGGTAGGTTCAGTTATGGATGCCACATTCTGGCCATATATATAGAGTTGACTGGGCTTTCTCAAAAAAAATTAAGACAGTTTTAAATGCCACAAATAATCCAGTGATTCAGTAACAAAGTTTGATTTGCCACTTGACTCTGAAATAAAAGTGAGCGAAAAAGCCAAAATACTGGCTACACTGTAAAAAGAATTTTAAGAGCTAACGCATTTCGCCAATGTCCAAATGGCCATCTATATATAATGTACATATGTGTATTTTCTATGTAGTAGCCTTCTGATTAACATGACACCCTCTGTTTATTTCACGGCAGACTGATTCAAAGGAGAGTCGGACGCAGGAGTACCTGAATAAAACAGGCTCGAACCAGGAGGGGAACAGTGACAGAAGATCAACTCTACGAAAACAAACTAGCATGCAAAGTGAGAGCAATGCCAATAGACTGGACGACAGAAACAGCAAAGGTGCTGAAAGTTTGAAAGAGGATAGAAGTCACCTGTCAGGTCGATATAGACTACAGGAGAGCCACCAGAGTGAAGTGAATGAAAGGGAGAGTCTTTGTGACAATAGACTGCAAAGAAACAGAGACAGTACAGGTAGCAAAGCCAAGGATATGATCTCTAAGCTCCAAGAGAAGAAGGATGACAAGGAAAAAGACAAGAGAGAGGATTTTAGGAGACGGGACGACAGTAAAACTAAAGATATCATCTCAAAACTGAAAGAAAAAAGTGAAAAAGATGTTGCTAAGGATCGAGAGAGGAGATCTGACAGTTTCCGCACTCAAGGGCTGGTTTCAAAAATGTTGGAGAAGCAGAATAAGGCACTGGAAAATCAAGAAAGCAAGACAGAGGAACACAAGACCAAAACAGATGAGAAAAAGACAGAGGAGAGGAAGAGAAGTGATGTCAAATTAGAACGGTCAGTGTCGGACAAGGGTGATGTGGTGGCAAAACAGGCTGATAGGGGAAGTGAGGATTTGGTCAACCACAGTGATCATGTAAAAGAAAAAGACAAAAGTGCAACAGACAAGAAGGCAGAGAAAGCAGAGGAGAAGAATGAGGATTTGAAAGGGAAGGCTAAATCTGATGGAGCAAAAACAAGCAAAACAGATGAGAAGATTGTGAATTGCATGAATAATGACACCCATAAGAGTAAGACGAAAGAGGAGGATGATGATGAAGATTCCAGTATGTTTGATGAACTGATGGAGCAAGTTCGCACCAATAACTCCACCCTCATAGAACTCAATGTCAACAACTCAGAGGTCATCAAGACCAAAACGCTGATTGAGTTTGCTGAAGCTCTGAAAACCAACACACATGTCAAGATTTTTGCTTTGGCCAACTGTCGAGCAGATGACCATGTGGCCTACGCCATAGCGGGCATGCTTAGGAACAACAAGACCATCACAAGTCTCAATGTGGACTCCAACCTTCTTACTGGCAAAGGGATCTTATCCCTAATCCAAGCATTGCAGTACAACTCCACTCTGACAGAGCTTCGATTTCAGAACCAGCGTCATATTTGTGGTGGGAAAACCGAGATGGAGATGGTGAAGATTCTCAAAGAAAACACCACTCTGTTGAAACTGGGTTACCACTTTGAGTTGGCAGGACCCAGAATGACCACAACTAATATTTTAAGTCGCAATATGGACCGGCAAAGACAGAAACGACTACAAGAGCAGAAACAGGCACAGGCAAATGGAGAGAAGAAGGACACATTGGACGTTCCCAAAACAGGAAGTGGATCTTTGAGGAATTCACCCAAAGCTTCACCAAAACCATCTCCTATGCAATCTCCAATGCCATCTCCAAAGCTGACTTCCAAAAGAGGAACAATGGGCGGTTTGACGCCACCACCCCCTCCTCCACCTCCAGGTGGCGCACCTCCACCTCCCCCTCCACCTATGCTAGACATTGACTTGTTGAAGAACTCACTCACACCAGTGTCACAGAGGAAAGTGGATGGGAAAGGTCCAGGTGGCAGTAAGAACTCAAGGGACCAACTGCTGGCGTCAATCAGGACAAGCAATATTAACCAGCTTAAAAAGGTTTGTATATCTTTTTTGCTAACTTATTTTCTGCCAGTGTCCTAATAGAGTTCCCTTATCACTAGGCTCTTTTCTAAATAATTTAAACACTACAAATTATATGTTTTTGTCTAGGTACCTGTTCCAAAGTGGCTGCAATAAATGACTCCTGGAATTAACCATAAAGAAGAGGGAGAACACGCCTCTCACCACGACTTACAATGCTGAAACATCATAAAGAGACTGCTTTGCATGTTCACTCTGAGAAGATAACAAAAAAAGAGATCTTTAATTGGAAGGATTGCATAGGACAAGAACTATGCAATATGTGATCTAAATGTGACTGACTACATAAAACAGCTGTTATTGAGCAAGTATAATAGTTTTTATCAGTAATGATAAATTACTGTTATGGGACTTCTGCCAATCCTCACTATGAGTTCTCCCTCAAACACTGGACCAAATGACTCTGTGGAGAATGAGTGAAACAGAATATACAATGCTTGTTTGTAATAATGTTTGCGCATATGAATATTTGCACTAGAATATAATAAGAACCCAATTATATAATAGTATGCATCTAAATGTGGTAATAGTGCACTAGCTTACTACAGTAAAATTTTGATGTTATCAGTCTTGATAGCAGGACTATTTATTTACAGAGCCGTAAGTTACTAAGATTGGGAATCATACATTTGGAATGGGAAAATCAGGGAATTTGCTTTGAAAATTTTAGATCATACTGTTCAATGAAGTACTTTTTATTTTGTGTAAAAATTGTCTTGGGACAATTTATGTAATATTGGAGACATTTTTAAGACACCATGACTTCATAGATCATTAGAAACTCAAAACATGCTGGAAAAAACTCACTTACTCTATGGCTGACTGGTGTGTATCAATCATTATTAAAACCTTCGAATTTGAATGTAATATGGAATCCTATGTCTTAAGTTAACAAACAGCCATTACTTTTCTGTCCAAGTTGATTGTAATCCCTCATTCATCTAGGGGTGGTCCATACACTATGTCATCTAAAATGTGCTGAGCATAGAATGATATATCTGTTTGTGTTCATCTGTGTAAGAGCCTCTATGTCTCCAAATAAATGATTGTTTGTTTTACATGATTCCACTTTTTTGGCCTGCCATTGTCTAAACTGTCTACAGATTGGCCTCTATATTGGGTGATGCTGTGAGTGATTTATGTACAAAGATAAACCAGCCAACAAGATGTTCATGTTTAAACATAATGAATCTTTGCATTACATTGCCTTTTGGTATTAGGCTATTTCTCGGTCAGCTGTGTGGACAAACATTAGCTTTGTGTTCACAGGAGAGAGCAGTTAGTTTATGTCTCCAGCTCTCTCTCTCTCTCTGTCTGCATTCACCAAATGTCTATATTTGGGCATTTCTCTATGAGTACTTGCTCTGCAATTCATTCCTTTCTTGTTCCTAATAATGGGCTGTGGGCCAGACAGTGGTCTGTCTTTTGCTGTAGCTTTTAACAGCACGTAGAGAAAATTATGAAAATTACTAGTGATTAGATGCCAGAGGTAGTGAGGCTAGTTGAAAGACCTGTAGTTTGACCTGTAGTCTAAAGCCTATATAGCAAGCACTTTGCATACTTGAAATGATCTCATATAGGCCTACTAAATCAGTAGGCAAGTATGCGCGCTACAATCAGGTATTCACATCAGACAGATGAAAATATTTATAGGCTTAATTAATCTACATCCATGATGTCGAAATCTTTTTTATATCTTATCTTTTTATAGATTTATTATTAATATTTATTTATTTATACAACTTAATTTTTTACAATAAATACAATGTAAACAATATTTCCAATAATAAGACATTCATTTCATTAGCAGGTTACAAATAATAATAATAATAATAATAATAATAATAAAAAATTTAATTTTAAAAAATACACGCCCCTTTACGTCAGGTGCCCATGGGAGTTACGTCAGAGGGAACGTTCAAGGAACAAAATGGAGGAGTATGCCAGAGAGCCTTGGTGAGAGCTTTTGCCAAAATATGATATTCTTTTATCGATTTAGGTTTGTGAATGTGCGCATCTTTATAGCTGAGATGAATACGTAACGACTGTGTTATTGATTGTCCCTTTAAGATTGTAAATAATCAGAACTCCAGGTCATTAGCCTCTGTTAGCATCAACGCTAACTTCACATAGGAATTTAAAGAGGGTCTGTGCTAGCATCAAGTGAGGCTGTATCACGTTGTAGTGACCTTGCCGGGTTAGCTGTCACATGTTATTACGTTGGGCACTATGTTGGTTGTCTCTTATTTTTGACACTTAAACGTGCCCACCAAATAAATACTTCTTAACCATGTACGTAACGTTAATTTGCTTCTACTCCATAATAAATTCATGTAACTTGCTTGCTAGCTGTTAGCTACAGGGTTAGCATCTCATGCTGTAGGCATAGGGTTGTAAATAACTCTTTGGTAACTAACGATATGTTTTTACCATGTTGTTGTTCAGAGTAACAGATGGAAATAGCTATTTTCATGTTTGTGTTAGTGTGTTGTGTAGTATCCATCCTTTAAAATGGTATGAGATCAGAATGGAGGCAATGTCAAGGCAGCTAGAGGTTTCAAATTTAAATGGTTGTCAAATAAACTGAGTGGTTATCATTTGCCAAAACTACCTTAAATTTTTGCTGTTTATGTTATTTTGATATTATTTTATATTCCGAGGCGTATATACACATATTCTCAATTGAAATCACATATTGTTCCACTTGCCTCCATCCCATAAAATGTATTTGTTAAATGTGACATCATCACAGTTGACAACAAAATCAGTTTATTTATGCTATTTTAAACTTTAAAATCATCCAAATACCATTATAGGTCAGAATTCCACTGGACCTAGAAGGAGCCGAACTACAAGAGATCATCACTTAACAGTCCCATTATAACCACCTTGTTATATAGTTTGCTTACTTAGTTTGTTAGTTATTTAACTGGTGATACTACACTGTATAATCGACGTGTGCCTGCTTTTGTAGTCCCTGGAGGATTGTGGATGACTGTGGAGGCGCATTCACAATGGGTGCTATTGGTGGAGGCATTTTTCAGGCTGTTAAAGGCTTCAGAAATTCACCCTCTGTAAGTATTTAAATATTTTTTCCATGTTTTTGACTCTAATTATTCTTCTACACTGTAAAATTGTTGCCTTTGATTTTTATAGGGAATGGGCCATAGAATGAGAGGGAGTTTGACAGCAATCAAAACTAGAGCGCCGCAGCTTGGAGGTAAAATGTTTATTCAACTCATGTCTGTTTTTTTTGTTTGTTTTTTTTTTAAAAATATGATTCCCTTCAATTTTGTCTTGTCTCTTAAAAATAAAATAGAGTTTACCTTTATAAGTGCCTCCACAACTTAATTTTGACAGTTATTTTATTTATTAAATTAATTATTTGCCTAATTCCTCGCCATATATGTTTTACTAACATACACACTGGACTTTCAGGAAGCTTTGCAGTCTGGGGAGGCCTGTTCTCGATGATCGATTGTGGTTTAGTAAAAGTACGGGGCAAAGAAGATCCCTGGAACTCTATCACAAGTGGAGCCATGACTGGAGCTATCCTTGCTGCAAGAAGTGAGTTTTTTTGTTTTGGTTAAAGAAAGTTACTTGTAGCCTCACCTGAAACCAAGATGAAAATTTCAGTGGAATTTATTTTTGTAAGTGAAATTAAAACTGTGGAGGGATGGACATTTTAGCATAACGTCTATGTACATCTAACAGATCCGAATGCTGATATTATACTGTATTATGTATTTTGTGATAGATGGACCTGTGGCCATGTTTGGCTCTGCAGCAATGGGTGGCATCCTCTTGGCGTTGATAGAGGGCGCTGGTATTCTACTAACTAGATTTGCTTCTTCACAATTCCCAACTGGTTAGTAACATTGAAAATTAGAATATATCATAATGTATGTATGCTTACTCTTTCTGTTCTGTAATTTTTCAGGCCCCCAGTTTGCCGAAGAGCCAGGCCCTGCTCCAATGGGATCTCCCTCTTTTGGAGACTACAGACAGTATCAATGAGAGAACACACTTGTTTTTTTAATTCCTTGCTGAAGTTAGCACCAATGAATGGAGATGGAGACCACATCACTCGTCACACAAACTGTGTCAAAGATGTAAATGGACAGTAAACATCTTCATTTAACTGCCTTCTGCCATTTCAGCCTAGTCATCTGCATTGTTTTCACTACAATATGAGATGTGAGGGAATTGCTTGTTTTGGCTTGTGGCAAGACACTTTTTTTTCCCCTGACAGACCTTGAATGTGGTAGGTTCTAAAATAACACAACACCTGCTGTGTAGTGACTGATGGGAACAATGCAGATTATAAACAATGTTTATATCTTCTATACATAAAACCCCTCATTTTCTCCTCAGTCTTTTATTTTCCACAAGTGTAAATTGCTTGGACTGGTCATCCAGATTTTTTTTTTAATTTTCTTTTTTTGTTTGTTTGTTTCTCCAGTTTACCTCTATCCAAGCTATAAGTACCCTGGCTATTGCAGATTTTTTAAATTGATTTATTTATTCTATAATGTATGAGCCATGCTATCACATTTAAAGTGTGATTTCCAGAAAAGAAGAAAAGTCAAAAATTTGAAAATGACAACCAACGGCATTGGCAGATGGACAGGATTAACAGAAGCGAGGGGTTGTTAATACTAATTTATATCTGTATGACAGATTATTGTACATTCAACAAAACAATAAAATATCCAACAACGTCATGTTTGTCATACATTTCCAGTGCTATATGTTTGTGGCAATAATCTACAGCCAAAAAGACAGAAGACTTTTTTTTCTAGCACTAGTATTGTACAGGGTCTTGATAGGGACTTCTCTCTTTTTATGACTCTCGCTGTGTATGAATTTATTGTCCACTAGATGGCAGCCCACTAAAGAAACTCCTGAGAATGAGCTCAGTCTTGTACAAAGAGCAATATACAGAAAAAGGGAGCATATAGACTCCCTTTTGGTTATCCTGAGCGTGAGGCTTGAACTTGGATAGCCACTTCACCTGTAGCTGTGCTACACACCTACAGGTTAAGGTCTTTAACATGAAATGGCTCTAAGCTATGGGTCAAAATATATCAAGATTTTAACTGCATGACAGCACTCAGAAGTTTAACTTGGGGCATTGCCAGAGAGGAGGGGCTTGCACTGAGTAATGCTGAGAGACCTAAGGTATTGATCATAATACTTCTATGGGACTAAATGGGGTGAAAAAGAAAAAAGAATGGCGCAAATAGTTGTAAAGCTGTGGGGTAACTTTTAAAGAATGTAAAGTGGGAAAACTTTACAATATTAATTTATTTTATAATAAAATATTCTCAGTGTCTCAAGGTCTCCATAAGGAAGTTAGTACTTTACGTGGAATGTTCTACAGTAGGCTATGGTATAAACGTATTCAGTATTCTTTAAATTACTGATTAGGCATGGTGTTGTTCTCCACGAAAACAGAAAAGTTAATGCAATACTGTGGAACATTCTGGGCAAAGCAATATCTTCGTGGAGAAAGGCAGGTGGCATACCCTCCACCACAAGTTACATAGTGCACCTCTAATATTTGTCTAGCCAATCTGTACTAAAATCAACAGTTTAGAACGGGTTTGCTACTACTTCTGAAAGATCTTGTGTAAAAAAAATAAATAAATAAATAAATACATAAACAAATATATCGCTTTGTAACCCTCCCATTCAATGTTGTTGTTTCTAATATCTTTTTAAATGTACATTATTGTAATTTGGCTACATAATCCTAGTAATGTATTTATCTATCTAATCCCTACACAGAAGTGCCTACACACCAAAATTCTTGAATTACTACTATGAAACGAGTTTTGAATTCACCACGGTGTCTTGTCCAATTTAAAATGCATGCATAAGCTATTTAAAATGTGTATCCTATTTGCAATCTCAATTTCTGTAAGACCCGTTATCATGCAAATGTGGGCGCAAGGCTCCTGCCCATGTGTCATGCCCTAAAAATGAGAAACAGCGCCGAGTGACGTGCGCTTATGCGTCCGCTGCGCAGTGAGCAGAGCTGACACTTGGCGGAGCGGCGAGAGACACAGACAGCGAGCGACAAACGGTGAGTGCAAATGCCAAACTTTGGTAGCTGCTAAACCTACTAAAACAAGTAATTTCTGGTGAGTTAAGACTTGTTGTTTGTATCCCTTCTGGGAGACACATCAGTGCGCACGGCGTGTTTGTTTTGGATGGTAAATATAAAGAATGTGTACATGCACAAACGGAATGTGCACTCCCATTTTAGTCAAGGCCAGGCGGAAGGGCAGGTACTGTTAGCATTTGCTGGGTCTCCCTGGAGCCAAACCAGTACATACATTGATACTGAATTTAGCGATCTTGTCCTTTGTAAATCTATAAATCTGGCTACTATGCGGTGTGTTTTTGACAGGCTAGCTTGGGCTGTGATGTACTCAGTGGAAAGGAATGTGGCTGCTAGCTAGCCTGTTGCTAACGCGCTGCGGCTAGCGGCTGTGAAGTGTCGGCGGCCCGTGGAAAGCACTGGCTTAAAGCTAGCTAGTTAGCGCTGGCAGCTAACGAGCCTGATAACGGGACTCGCTCCTCGCACTAGCATCTATGAAACTGGATTGTTTATGAGCAGATGTCTTTCTCAGTCGGATTAAACACGGTGATGTTCTAAGGATTTGTCTGTAAGGAGGCTTATTATTTTAAGCGTGATTTGCTGGGTGCTATGTTTGCCAGTATGTAATAGTCGCATTGTAAATCTTAGTAGTTTTGTGTGGTCAAGTCACAGCCACAGATTGACCCGAAGTGATATGGCCATATGCCTCGATATGCCTGTAAGCAGAAAACTTGAAGAGTTCCTCATGACACTGACAGCCTGGTGGGAGCCAAGAATGTTGGACATGAAAGTTGTGTGGTAAAATTTATAATAGTTTAGCATCTTTTTATACCGTCATGGTATGTGTATTACATAATTATGTATTACATTGCATGTTCATAAGTTTCTTTGCATTGCATAACCTTTAGATCAGGGGTGTCCAAAGAATGGCCCGGGTCTCAATGCGGCCCTCAGACCTCAAGGTAAATTGGTCCTACTTTTTGTGTTGAATGTAAGTATTTGATCTGTGGCCCCTTGCTTGATATATGTTTCAATGTTTGGCTCTGTGTGGGAAAAAAGTTTGATCAGTTTTATCAGACTGGCTGACACAAATAAAGCTCTCCATGTTTCAAGAGTGCAATAAATGACAGCCCTCCCTCTCATCAGCTTTTCCACATGGTCCAAAGGCTAGTTCCTTAATATTCTTCAGTCACAGAATTTAGATGAATATTGACAGCTTTATTATGTTTTCCTTTGCTACATTATTTATTGTAGTCTTTGCGCAGCGGTTTTATGTTAATTGCTTCTGTAATAACATTTTATTTTCCAAGTCCATATTTTTGTTCTCTGTAGTTACCTCCTGTATGCCCTCTTCTCACCAGTTTTGAGCCACCCAAGGCAACTTCCCCATCTGTGTGGCTATGCTGCTGTCCTAAGCACCAAACAGGAACAGAGACTGAAGGGGGCTATTTTAGTGTCACCTCCTCCTGTTCCATCCCCTCAGCATGTGTCTGTCTTCTGAAGAGATCTGGAAAGAGGATGTGGTTACAGGTCAGGGCTCAGCGATGCCTATGACTGACATCGTTTTTGTCACTTACACATCTTTGTCAAAACGTGGTCTCAGTGCCATTATGCGTGGCTGCTGAGTTTCAGAGTGACTCAAACACCTTTCGGAGTTTAGTGGACTCTGCAGTGTTGATTAGGGGATTTTTGCACCACAGATTAATCATTATCAATGAGAAAATCATTGTATATAAATCATTTTACTTGTCTGTTTTTCCACTTGTTTGTATACGCTCAATACACCTAAATGTCAGACTTTGTTGGTAGCAAACGCAGATTTTATATATATATATATATAAATTTTTGTTGCAATAAGAATTCTTACAATAGATTTAAATTGGCCATAAACCTGTATTTCTTATCCTGTATCAGAGACTGTACATTGATTTGGTACCTGTCTATTACTTTGTTTTTTTATTTCTGGTTTACATTATTGATCTAAGTTTTCCTTTCTAGAATAAAGCCATAGTTTTAACAGATCCCAAATCAGATGCAGCGTACACGCGTAGTCACAAAAAATTTATGTCTAACTTCTTTTTCTAAAACTTTGCTTTCTCCCTTGTGTTTTGTTGATGGACGGCTTCTCCCTTACATGTAGTGGTTCTTCACAAGGCCAGTGTGAACATGTGATGTAATGCATGGTTCTGGCTAGGGTAATGAGTAACCAGTGGCTTATTGGCATCAAAAACACTACCATTACCCTGGACACCCAAACCACAAGTGACTGTTGCCACTCTAATCGTTGTGTTTGCTGGAAAACGATCAAGCATAAACCTCTTCTGAACCGCAGGATATGAGTGTCTACATCTTCCGCAACAGTTTGCACGGATAAGAGGAAAGTGAGGGAGGGAGGGAGGGAGGCAGCTGTCAGTCACACTAATGCTGATTCAGTTGTTGTGACAGTTTTATGTCTATGATTAACCCCTACAGAGCAGGACATTGTGCGTATACATGTTGTAGTAAAGTCATTTAATTCATATCAAAATGCCCATTTTTGGGTTGTCAAAAATCCAGTTTCTAATTTAATGAATATAGACTAGTGTAAATAATGTAGACTTATGTGATGATGTTTTGACCTGTATTGTTCACTTTTATGAATATAATATTGGATAAAATGATTAAGATTATACACAATTATTGACAGTGACACCATGTTCATGACCAGTTTAAAAAGCACTGTATATTTGGGCTGCTTAATATGAGAAAAATACTTGATATTCAATAACTATTTTGTATGTATTACAATAATAATGATATTATAGCAATATTTTAGTATGCTTTTTGGCACAACAAGTTCAGTTAAATTTCAAAGACAAAATTCCCATGTCTTCATTTACTAATCACACTGGCTCAAAATATGGCTGTATTTTTACATAAAGATGTAACAAATCATTTTACATTCCAGATAAATACATATTACAAAAGTAAAAAGTTAATTAGCGATCTTTACTTCAACTTAAGATGAATTTGTAGGCCTTGCAATGGATTTTAAAAGGTAAATATTGTTTTTTGGCCACAGTAGCAAGCCAAATATCAGATTAAAAAAGAAATAAATGGCCCATCCAACATAATTAGGAAAAGCATTAATAAAATCTACCTTTTTGTCGATTTTACTTTTCAAAAACAGTACACTTATGTAAAATAGAAAACCTTGTGTTGATGCAATATATTTATTTTCTTGGGATATTGTTTATTGCCTCAGTCGATATCGACTGTATCGATATTTAGGCAATTCAATAATAATGCATTGATCTTATATAGCGCTTTTATCTTCACACTCAGTCGCTTTACTATTTTGTGCATTATTCACTCCATACCCAGTGGTATAAGCTACTGTTGTAGCTGCCCTGGGGCAAACTGACAGATATACAGACAGACATATATTGTGCAGCTCTACATGCAGGTCTTTCTAAATTATTTTAGTCCCTTTGATTATCTTGTGACCTGAATTTAATCACAATTATCGATTTAACAGAGTAATCTTGACATCCCTTTCTTGGACATGTGTGGGTGAGTGAGGTGGTGATGATGCTATATCTCTGACTGGTGTAACTCTTTATTTGCAGCGGTTACTACTAGAGAAGCCACGGCAGCGGGAACGTTGTGTTTTGTTTTGGATGACAGCTCACTCGTAGTGGTGGAGCTGCTGAGAGGCTATTCAGTGAGATATCCTTAAATGGCCCTGTGAGTGTTTGAGCAGGGACATAGTGCGCAACGCCTCGTCAAGTTTTCCTGGAATCCAACTTTGTATACAAGACAAGAGCGCATCCCATTCTGTCATGGCCTATATTTAGACCTGGGTCAGTGCAGAAATTGAGAAAATGGCCAATTATGTTTTAAAGTTTCTTGATCATTGCTGTTAGAAATGACACAGGATCGTTGACTTGACATCGCTGCACACTGTAAGACCGGTACAAAGTAGGCTGGATAAAGGATCTACCCATATGAAAATAAATGGATAAGAAAAGAGTTTGGGGCTAACTAGGTCGAACATTCACTTTGTATGGGGCGCCTCTTGTAGCTTTTGTGATGCAGCTGATCTAGGACCTGGCCTGTTTGGTTAATGGCGTAGTGGGTAGTGTGGCTTCTTTTTTACTACAGTAATTGCAGTGTCTGTGTATAACCACGAGACTCATGCATGGCCAATAGTGATAAAAGTGAATATTTCAATATTTACATTATACTTATTTTTAAAGTATCTAGATAACGACACATGTTGCCCCATTTCTGGCTTTGGAAACGCCTATTCTTACTTTATTATTTGTATTAATGATTTATTTAATGTTATATTACTGTGTGAATCGTGACTCTTGCTTATTATTAATTATATTTTCTCCTCTACATCGCTAACTATTTTTAGTGTAGTAATTATGCGCTTTGTATTGTGTGATTAATTATGGTCAAAGACAAAGTCAAACATGGTTCCCTCTAATTTCAGAACTTGTAATTATTTCTCACCCTCATGTTTCACTCCCTCAGCCTTTGAATGTACTCAAGCTAGACATGGATTTTGTTAGTTCTATGAAAAGTTATGAGACCCATCATCAAATGGCTATATTAGTAAAAGTATGTTTAAATATTATCTTGCAATGCTTAGAGCTGTAATATGCAGTGCTAGATTACACACTATCTGCTCCCATGCATTCATCTTTAATGTATTGCACATTGGCAGTAGAAACAGTGCACATGCTCCTCTCTTTCTCTTCCTGTGTTTACATGAATCCTGATTCCTGACTTTACATTTTTTCAGTACTGTTACATGTTTTTTAAAGCCGTGCATAAAGTATACTTTTTGCTACCTATTCTTATATGAATTTATTTTTTTAACCTGGCATAGAGCAGATTGGGTAAACAAGGATCAAATACTTGGTTTTATTGATTGGTGAAGCGTCACATCAGCAGAGCTAGCAGAAAAATCTAACTTTTGCTAAGTTGGAAGACCAAAAAAGAGAAAAGCATAGGCATCAAATTTATGCATAAAGTATTTCTGTCTGCACGTTTCTTCAAACTGGTCTCGAGTTGTCCTAATCGCTTCAACTTGATTGTATTGGTGATTGGTCATGCAGTGGCCCAAGCCCAAACACAGACACAAGATAGATTGTGTTTGTGAATGTCATAGGAATTTGTTTTGTTTGTCTTTTAGAGCACGGTAAATGTAGAATGACAAAATCGAATACAGATAAATCCAGTTAAATGTTTTTATCATCCCTTTGTGGTGGTGAAACAGCTTAGTAACGTTCTTTAGTGGCCTCCCAGTTCCCAGAAATTGTTGGTTTTTGTTGCCAATACAATTTTTTTTTTTTTGTTGTTATCCTTATATCAGTATCATCTCTGTTATCCAGGTAGTTCCCAGTGTGCTTCATGGGTGCATACCAGTCTACATACAGTAACTTTATACTTGTTCTGACACAGCTCAAGATCATTCTAAAGCTGCTCAGTGAAGATTAATCTATTAGTATCTGATTTTTGATACTTTGCTTTGGCAACCCTTCTGAAAGTGCATTTTCATTCTTCACTGAGTTGGATATTTATGGGAGCAGAATTGTGTGCATTGAGCTGGTAGCTTTGGGAGAACTTACACATACCAAAGTCAATCAACAAGGGCTGTCCAGTGCTGTAGAGCTGCTCACACCCTGTGCAGCTGGGGCATGCTCCAGCTGCCTTAGAATGAATGAGGGATGCTTTTGGGGATCAGAGCACAGCAATATACACTACATACTACTGCTAATCATAATTAGAAACACTTTTAACTATTCCTGTTAACTACCTACTATTTTGTATTTACCGGTAAGTTGCACATTTGTGGTGGGAAAGTACCTGTAGTAAATATTTATCATAGTTTTACATCAGTCAGTTCAAGTGTTGTGAAAAGTTGTGAAAAAAGACTAAAAAATTCTGCTGAGCAACTTTATGTATTTTTCAAAAGTATTCTTTCCACCTATGTCGTCTTCACTCAAGTCCATCCAATATATTTCTTGCCAAATAATTACTTTGTAAATGAAGTGAACTTTGGCCCTTGTTTATAGTATGGTTTGGTAAAAGTTAATTACCTCTAGGCCTACTTATATCACATCTGCATAAAACTGTATCAAACTGAAAAAAAAAAAATACTATATCTAATTTATTTGGTTAATAATTGAACATTAATTTAGTTTATTGCATCCTTTCCTGTTGACATGATGAAAAACAAATGAATAATGGAAGTCTGTTATTTCCTGCAGTGATAACCAAAGGCCAGTATTGCATGGCAGCCTCTCCCTCTCCTGGTCCGAGCTGTAGTGACCCATTTGGCTGTGCGTAGCACCCCACCATCTTCCCCCTTGGAGGGATATTCCAATGATTTCACAATTTCCTGCCCCTCGCTGTTCCCACTTCCCTCAGCTGTGCAGTGTCACCAGTCAAAAGCCTGACAGTGTATCAATGCTCAAAGAGTGATCAGGGCCAAACTGTGAAGAGTGGCTGGGTGTGTTGTGTGTTGGGACAAGGCCAGGCCAATGGTGTCATACTCAACTGTATCTCGACTCGCCTCAGAGCGCACACCACAGCTGGTTCGTGTTAGCGAGGGGTCACGCAGTCCTCGCCTCCTCCACCCTGCAGCCGCTCCACTGATGGGTGTTCCCGTCTATTGTTGTGCTGCTTCTTGTCCATAACCTCCAGGAATGACTAGAATCCTTCCCCTTTTCCCTACAGTGGAAAAATCTCCCTGTGCTCTGAGTGGAAAAGTCGTGTTCAAAAAGTCACTTTGTTTTTAAATGTAGATTGGATTGATCTGACTCTGTTCTCACAGGCCGTGTCCTTGTGCTCTTCTTTCTGTTTGTCCAGTGTAGACGGTTGGCTGTCTGCTGAAGCGATCTTGCCATGCGTGAATACAAGCTAGTGGTTTTAGGCTCCGGAGGTGTGGGCAAGTCCGCTCTGGTGAGTACCCTGCTTCCCCTTTACAACTCTGCACGCTAGTACTGATTCTGTGCATCACATCTCATAATGATCCCATTTTATGCTAAACATGAAATCACATAGTTTTATTATTTCAGATCTAATGGAAAAAGACACAAAAGATTCACACTTCCAGGCAATTACTGATTAGATGGAAGTGCCATATTGCAAGTGGCACATTGTTCCTTAAAATTATAATTTTATATAATGTGCTCCTTCTTTGTTTTTGATGAATTGTCTGATGAAATATGTTAAAATATACTCCGTGGCAACTATCCAGGTCATAATTTTTTCATCATTTTTTAAACCTCTACAAACATGTTTTGTGATGTACTTATAGTAAACAGTCCTTTTCTAGTAGTACTAATTCCATTTGGAATATGATAGACTGATTTGATTCTGTCAACTGGACAAAAGTTTTAGAGTGATTTAGCTTCTCATCCAAGTGGCATCTTTTTTTGGGGGTCAGCTTGCCGGTGGACACTATCTTATATCGGCTTGAAGGGAGGAGTTAACTATACTGCCTTCAGACAGATGTATGGTCGTGTCTACCGGCAATTTGACCAGAACTGAAGATGACGCTTGGATGAGCAGCTAAATGTCTTCACTCTAAAACCTTTGTCCAGTCGACAGAAGAGAACTTTTCTTTTACTATGGGTTTGTTCTGAACTACAAAGGGATTACACAGATAATGTGATAGACTGTTCATCCCATTCAGTCCTGTGGTTGTTTCTGTGTCATTATCAAACTCATACAATTTAATGCCAGCTAACAGCACGAAAGTCTTCTCTTCTCGTTTTCGAGTTGGGATAAGACCGACTGAAAATAAACTGTTGAAAGTTGTCTTATGCTTTTGACAGCAGACCGTGACCTCCTTCGCTCATGTTGCCCAGGTGTTGAGGCCTGTTAATCCTTCACTTTGGCAACCCAGACCTTATGATGTTATGTGTGTGAATCTGTCTACCCTAATGTAAACCTCACTGCAGCTTTATACAGCAGCATCGGCCCAAGTTTAGACATTTTCATCAAAACGTGACCACCTCAGTTTTGCTCCAGATTTTTTGCCAAACTCGTATTACGTAGTGTTTTTATCAGGCAGTGTGATGTAAATGTTTTTTTTTTTTTTTTGTGTGGAGGTTGAAACGTACTGACCCAGGCTCTTTCTGTCTCTCAATCTTGTAGACAGTTCAGTTTGTACAAGGAATCTTTGTGGAGAAATATGACCCGACAATAGAAGACTCGTACAGAAAGGTGAGTGGTGCTCTTCTGCGGTCATGATTACTAGCAGCTGTGGCAGGTTCATGCCGTGATCATGGACTCTGCGCTCATTCTGCTCTGTCTTTCCTCACATAATGCAGTGACGTGCAACCAGAGAAATGTAAAATATTTCCTCCATATTCCAAGTCCAATTATGATTATGACATTTCAAAATCTTAATTACAGCAGTACAACCGGACAGTGTTAAAAGTGTCTAATGTAAAGAAGTTTATAAGGGTATTAAAGGTTATTATGAAAAATATCGTTTTGATGTTTGTTATGTTTGGTATAATGTTGTTCCTTCATCCAGATCATGCATAAAAGAAGTTTTAGCTGTCATCCATGCATCTTTTAGTAATTTTGTGATCTCTCTTGGGTCCCATTTCAAGCCTTCATATGGTTAGCTTTGAGATTCTGTCCAATGTTCAGCCCGCAAACCTACGATATCCATGCTACCACATGACAATTCTCCATAAATATACAAAAGCATGATATAAAACTGTACACAACAACTAGGCAAATCTGATTTAATGTGCAGCAGTTTCATTAGCGGGATGCACACTGATTGTGTTGCGATAGCGCTCTAAAAAGGGGGTGACTTACAGAGTAAAGGAAGCGAGTAAAACTTATAAAACATGTTAATGCATTGTTTTAGTCGAATATAACATTTTCAAAACAATAGAGAAGGTGGCATGGTTACCTAAATATGTTACGTGTTAACTCAGCAGTCAATTCCCCATAGAAGTAAAATGCCCCCTCTTTAACAACCTGAACTTCTTTTGTCTATTTTAGGCGTCAAACAGCCTCACATTTATAACTTTTTATTTGTTGGTAACTGCAGCTAGTATTTGTCACTCAATCTTTTGACACTTATTACTGTAACTCCAGATGTTGTGATGTCGTGCAAAACCTCCATAAGCCCATTTGAGAATTTCCATTGGTAGCGAGCTTTTCAAATTGAACTTCAGAATGATCTATTTAATTTGCTCATTAATTTAGCTTTTGTTTATTTTTCATGCAGCAAGTGGAGGTAGACGGTCAGCAATGTATGCTTGAAATTCTCGACACAGCAGGCACAGTAAGTGAATTCATCTCCTCTAATCAAGATTATCCAAACAAGTCTGCAGTGAATCACAATATTGATCATCTGTTGATTCTTCCTCTGTGCAGGAGCAGTTCACAGCGATGAGGGACTTGTACATGAAGAACGGCCAAGGTTTCGCTTTGGTTTACTCCATCACAGCACAGTCAACCTTCAATGACCTCCAGGACCTGAGGGAACAGATCCTCCGAGTAAAGGACACCGAGGACGTGAGTCATTTATTGAGACATTTTTACTATAATTAGCAAGCATCAGCCAGGATATACTTTTGTATTGGCAACCACTTAATTTAAAACTCACATCTCAGTCAGCTGCATCATTTTAAATATGCTCAAAGCTCAATGTAACTGTTGTTTGTTGTAAAAAATAGTATGGCAGTCATGGTTTGTTTTTAGCCACTTCCATTGTCCATGCCGTTGCTATGGGATCCCATTCGCACACACACACACACACACACACCACACACACCACACACACCACACACACCACACACACCACACACACCACACACACCACACACACCACACACACACACTATATTGTATGCCAGTTAATGACACATTTACATGCTACGTGTAAACACTGAGCAGGCTCTTGGATACACTAAAGCGGTTCCTATTGTCCCAGGAGGAATGCATTTATTATGGGATGTAATGCTTTGCTTTTTGGTCACAGCTCCTCTTGTGTTTTTTCAAGTGTGGTCCTTCGCTTGGATCAGTCGCCCTTCAAACACAAAGAGGATGTGTGGACTCTATTATCTATTTTTTTCTTTCACTTGTTAAACTGCAAGGCTGCTGGAGTGAGCTCTCCATCCCTCTCTGGTCAGACTGATTTTACGTCAGCAGGATCAGGGATGCCCTTTTTTGGTGATCTTTGGAGGGATTGAATGTTACCATAACCCCTCATGTAGTTTCCCCTCCTTATGCTTCTTACTGCGCTCGCAGTCAACCCTCAGAGCCTGGTATTACTTTTTTTACTCGTCTGTCTGTTATATTTGCCATAGTAGCATAGCCTTTGTTTATCTTGATCAGGTTTATAGTTATTAATGTCTTTTGTTATTGGACCTGTCCATCGGAAACTGAATGAGAGAATACTATCAAAGTGGTGGCGTTCAAACTTAAAGGTACATTTTAAGATGATACAATTGACATGGCTAGTTTGTGGTCTCCTATATAACAAATGGATTTAAAAAAATGTCACTTGCAGATTTTCTATCAAGTTACAGAGCCCCCTGGCCTCCACCCCAAAATTCTAGAGAATGAACTAATAAATGGTCTAAGTCTCCTTCTTGATGCCCATTGCTATTCGCTGTGGTTTATGGGCTGCATGTGGTCTTGGTGATGTGTGTGGGTGATTGGTCTGTCATGGCAGAATTGTAGAAGGCCCGGGTCCATCAAAAACACCCAGGATTGTGGCTTCATTAGATCCGCTGTGGGCAGGCAGAGCTGTGGTTTGCCACCGCCTCACACATGGAATCCAGAGTCTGTGGCTGTGTTCACATGAAATAAAAATACAGTCAAAGCAGCATGTCAAAAAGAAAAGTTGAATATTTTAATTTTATACACAATTCCACACATGCAATTCAAACATGAGTTTTTGGAGCTATTACTCATTTCATAATAGAAGATGATTTTCACCTTTTTCCAAATTTTCATTCATTGGAGACGGGGAAGAGTGAAAGTTTGAGTTAAAACCACCTGCAGATGATGCTGTTAAACTGCACTTGTCGGTTTGTATCTTCAGCAAAATATTTTAATATTCTTATGTACAGGAGAAGACATGATGAGTGTTTTCGTTTCCAGTTTCATATGAGAACAGTCCATTGTACATGTACAGGCAGTTCACTGCTGTTTTTATAAATAATTTATTATAGTCAAAAACTACTTTATTTTTTGAGATCCTCCATGTAGCTGTATAATCAAACCATCTACATTGTATAAAAATACGAGTAATGAGAGATGGCCACATATAATTCAGATTTATTCACAATTCCTCCAAAATATTTGCCAAACCTGTGTTATAAAAAAAACACTGATGGTCTCCATAGTCTCATCTTTAAACTGCAATTGTCATTA